CCCCACTGTTTTATTTTTTGAGTGGTTTTGCTAGGGATGACAACAAGCATCTTTAACATATCATGATTTACTTACCATTTAAATTGGGTTATTTCTAGTAAATCATACATTTCCATGGTTTACTCAATTTTTGTGCTATTGTCATGTATGTTTAATTTCTGTCATAAACTAAAAAATATAATGGTATCACCTTTGCCCTAATGTCTTTTAAAGATTTTCAGAGAAGAAAAACGCATAGTGATTAATATCCACATATTTACCATTTCCAGCGCATTTCAGTATTTCTTGTATATCTGAGTTACCATCTGGCATCATTTCTCACCAGCTGATAGAACTTCTTGTCCATCTTGAAGTATAAATCTGTTACCAACAAATTATCTTAGATTTTGTTGATCTGAAAAATGTATTTTTGGCCTCCATTTTAAAAAGATAATTTCATTAAATATATAATTGTTGATTTTTCTTCTTCAGCACTTTGAATTATCATTCCAGTGTCTCTTAATTTCCACTATTTATGTTGAGAAGTCAAATGTTATCTTTTTTTTCTCTTATTTTCAAGATTTTCTCTTAATCTTTGATTTTACCATTTTGACTATAATGCGCCTTGCTTTGGTTTTCTTTGGGCGTACCCAGTTGGATTTGTTGAGCTCAGCAGATCTCTAAGTTAGTAGTTTTATCAAACGTGAGAAATTTTTGGCCAACATTTCTTCAATATTTTTTCTGTCGTGTTCTTTTTTTTGTTACATCTAATACTAAAATTTTGCATGTGTTGAACTACTTAATGTTACATAAGTCTGTGATGTTGGTTATTTTTCAATCTTTTTGGTTCCTGTTCTTTTGATTAACTATTCTCTCTTGATCTATCTTCAAATTCACTGAATTTTCTGTTCAAATGTCGTTTTCATCTCAAAATTGTTGTTGAGTACATTTAAGTAATGTTCATTTCATTTATTATACTTTTCATCTCTAGAATTTCCATGGGGGCTGGAGTGTTTCTACTTCTCTGCTAAGATTCCATCTCTCTTCACTCATGGATACCATGTTTTCTTTTAATCCATTGAATATATTTTTCTTAAGCCTTTGAATGTATTTGTAATAGTGGCTTTGCAGCCTTTGGCTGCTAAATCCAACATCTGGACCTACTTGAATCGATTTCTATTAACTTATTTTTTTCAGAGTATTGGTCATACTCTCTCATTTTAGTTTGCATCTCTGAAACTTTTTTGCACATTGTAAATGATATTTTGAAGTGACTGTAGAACCTGTTTCATTCTTCTGATTGCTAATGTGCTGTTCTAGGAGACAATTAATATGCCTGAATTTCCTGTCATGTGCAGCAGCTAGTATCTCTGCTTAGGAGCCTAAACAAAGGCCTCAAAAGATCAATTACACATCTTAGAATTTTAGGATTTTTAGGGATTCAAAATTCAGAAATTAAAAAATTTTAATTAGGAATGTTTTTCTTATTATGTCATGTTGGGTTTTGTCACTTTTCTTTTAAGTCTTACAAATCCATTATAATTCAGCTATATAGTACAGAATGGCAATATCTCACTTTGTTGTAAATGCAAATCCATATTTCAGATATCTAATAAAAATTTTCATAAATATTTCAAAAATTATGAAAAAAGTTAAGTGGAAGATGTCAAATTAAATTGAAAAATCAGGATATTAAAATATACTATAATGTTTGGAATTAAATTCTACTTCATTGATAGTATAGTTTTATTTCTCTAGATGAAATAATTTAAGATACCAGGATAATATTTTAATAAATTTAAAATAAAAATTCTTAAAGAATCAGAACTACTGTAACAAACTGAAACATTTGTTGCTTAAAAATATACCATATTGGATAGCATAGGGTTAATACTCACTTAGTTCTCACAACACACCATGCCTCTTCTAAAACATAATAATTCACATGTAACTCTGACAATTTATCTCTTACTTCTTTGGCAGATTTTCGACTATATGTAGAATAAACTATTTTTGTCCGGGCCCTTTAAATTTAAACAATAGTTTAAAAGATTTTAAAATGAATGATAATAGAATAGACTAAAAAAATCTTACTAGCAAATTGAAATCTCAGTACTCACTGGATGGAACACTTATATACATGACTCAAAACAGCATCAACTATTTTGGGGATGGCAGTTTCCACATTCCTACTTATATTTTGAATGTAATAAAACTTATAGCAATTTAATTTTGCATATACTGCTCATTATTGTATAAAATAGTCTAAAGTTGTACTGGGTAGCAGACAGCAGCTTAGGATATAAAATTTTCTTCTCACAATTCACAAAGTTTTCAGAGAATATATTCTGACAGAGACTGAATGTAGTGAAAACATATCTTTAAATGCTTAATTTCATCTGAAGAAGCTCTGACAAACACATGAATTGAAATTGAGTGTATCAAATAGAACATTTAGACAATGGGCATCCAGGGTGTCAGAACAGGTAGGAAAAGTACCTTGACAGAATCTTGAGAAATGGGAATCATCACCAAAATATGGTACAATAGGTGATTTGACCATAGTGGAAGTTCTTACAATATCCTGGCAGACTATCACTTATGCATTGGATGTTGCTTAGAATTTCAAGCATATGGGATGCTCAGTCACCACAGTGGTTTCCATGCCAGTTCACCGCAGTAGAATAGAGAGAGCGTCAGGTACATTTCTAAGGTGTCTGACTCCAAGCCCTGGCTCCTAGACAGCAGACCTAAAACTTTTAAATAATTTAAATATTTGCCTCTAACAATAAGCCAAAAATCCACTTTTAAAAACGATTACCCTGACAACTACTAGAATTACCAAAAGAATTTTTTAAACCAGCCATTTAAGGAAAGCAAAACTTTTAGACATCAATGGAAATTAGAGTTCTCATAATCGGCTAGCAAAAATACTCTAAATTTTCATGAAAGCACGTAATATATAATAGCAACTTTCAAGTACTTTTTCTACCTGTCACAAAAGGCTAGTCATTGGCCACCAGTAAGATCCAGAAATCACTTCCTAAATCAGAGTAGGGCTTGTGGTGTAGAGCAGGGGTTGGCAAACCATGGCTGTGAGTAAAATCCATCCTACCTCCTCTTCCAACTACCTAGTAGTTTTACTGGAATACACACACACATCATAAATATGTGACATGTTTGTCACTTTGGGAAAAACTGGCTTTTGCATTTTTCAGTTTTCAGAGGTCAGCTTGCTCCAGAGGCAACGGGTACCTATTGTCATTTCTGGATGGTCATCGTCATTTTTTTTGAACTTCCAGCACGAAAATGAGGATGAGTTTGTGTGTGTGTGTGTGTGTGTGTGTAAATATTTTCCCAATTCCTAAGAATTGGGAGTCACCAAATGATTCTTGATGAAATACTCATCAGTTGCCAACCTCAAGTCTGCATCTTCGTAATGTGGATGATTCACAATGGGATGAAGTGTAGACAACTTGACACTTGCCATTGTAGGCATGGCACCTGCGAAGACGGCATCTGAAAAAAAAAAAAGGCTATATTCTTCAATGAAATGTTTTAAAGAAAATCAGAAGTTAAACTTACCTCTAATATGTGAACCCAGATTAAGAAGGATGATGCCTATTTACATGACCATGGATCTCATTCCTTTTATTGACTCAATACTTACTCATTGTCTACTATAATAATAGCTGACTTTTGTTCAAACACTATCTTGGTGCTAGAAATTGTGCTTCATATTTTAACAAGAATTAAATAACTTAATTTGCACAGTTCTAAGAGGTGGGTCCTCTGTTCTTTGTAGAATCTACAAACTGAGCATGTGTGGGGTCTGGGTTGCGCACTCATTAGAATCTAATGCCTGATGATCTGAGGTGGAACAATTTCATCCAGAAACCACCCTCCATCCCCCAGTTCTGTGGAAAAAATGGTCTTCCACGAAACTGGTCCCTGGTGCCAAAAAGGCTGGGGACTGCTGTTGTAGACGATGAAGACACAGAGCCAAGTTAAGTGACTTGCCCAAGACTGCACAGCTAAGAAGTTCCAGAGCCTGCCCTCTTAGCTGCTTCACTAAAGCTTCCTGCCATGCTAGAGCACCATGCGAACAGCAGGACTACACACACACACGAAACAAAAAATATAAAATGTCATATCTGTTCCAATAATGTGAAATGCCA